TCGCCAGTTCTCACTCGTAACAATAAAGGAGGACGGAGCGGACTGTTGAGCAGTTTACATGTCTTTTGACTGATAGCCAGCGGGATATCACGTCTACGCCAGAGACGGCGTAAACTGACATATGCAAAACTAGCCTCCTGTATCCATGATGAGATTTCGTCAGCGATTAACCCTCTGGCACTGACTGATGCAACTCCCCAGATAAGTGAAGTGGTCAAAACAATCTACCAATCACTTCACTTCTGCTTATTTTTAAGCTAGGAGCCAATGCAGTCCAGTCCTGTAGCCTCATTACCTTACATTTGGCGGGAGCAAATCGCATGCTAAACATCCGAAGATTTCTGCTCCTCAAGATTCTCAGAAGACTCTGCACTTTGTCAGCGTCTTCATCTGTATATTCTAAGTCAACGAGATTATACCCTGGTAACATGTCTATATATATATATATATATATATATATATATATATATATATATATATGTACTTCAAGGAATAGAAGTAATGAAACCAAAATTAGCATACAATTGAAATTTCGGTATCATCATGCGACAACAGTTTTCCTCACTTTTAACTGTGATATAAGAACGTATATACAACAACAAACTATACACAAGGGATCATGTGAAACAGAGAGCGACTCAACAACATGTGAATATGCATATATACATATGTACACTTCAACTCAACATGATGTTGAAAAAGGAAACGAATAGCAAAAATCGAAAGGAGTAGAAATTAGAAGCCTTAATGAACTCCACATGTGAAATATCATTTTTCTCAGTGAATAACATTCAACGTACATACTTATATATATATATATATATATATATATATATATATATATATATGAATACTCGTGGACACAATGAGCACGTGTATAAGTGAAAAGGATGTAATAAGTGAGACAGAACAACAAGTATAACAAGATTGGAAATGTATTTTGTAGGTATATACCTAATTGTCAATCAGTTACATTATCATTCTGTGTGTGTGTGTGTGTGCACCAACTTGAACACTAATGAATCCAGAGAACTTTAAGACCCACATGATCTTTACTGGTTAAAAGTTCAAGTAATTAAATCGATGAAATATGTGTATATACATACATAAGGTGGCCATCAAAACTGACAGTCTAGGTCAATTGTAAGGACAAATACTTTGCTGTTGGCAGTAGCTAATGGTTGTGCTATAATATATCACTGATTAACAGAAGTTAGAATTCATGGGTCATTGAATTCTGGTTCAATTGGTTGAGCGATCAACGATTTTGATCTATCTTATAACCTGAAGACAGTTTCATTGGTATATACTGATGAAGAGTCCCGAATGAAGGCGAAACAGCTGTTCAGTACTTCCTGATAATTTTTAGTAGTTCTCTAACTGATATTAATGCACGATCATACTTGGAACACATTATATCCCTATAAACTAACTGTTGAAAGTGAGAAACCGTTGAAAGAATACACAGACGCACATCTACCACCTTCCAGTGGGTTTTCTATGCTGACGTTGTATTGTAACTGTCCACTGATTAGGTACATACAGAGACTTTTTTCAAATCATCAAAAGTGACAAAGTCCAAACACACAACCAATACTTTAAAACGCTGATAAATACAAAACACGCACACACACACACAAAAACACGTACCACATGAATTCGTGGTATACCCTGGGGTTAGTAAAATGGTGTGTACTTCACATATATATATATATATATATATATATATATATATATATATATATATATATATACCGACTGATAAAGAGATTAATCACAAACCAAACAGAATCAAAATGTTTCAAGATAAACTCTAATCAATACATATATATGAAGTATGTACGTGTCATGTACTTTTTTTGTTGTCAATATGTTTCAAAAACTAAATATGACAATGGTATACTTTAGAAACAGAAGAGGCACGAAAGCCCCACTGACCTTGGAAAGAGCTATTGCGTTAAGAGGAAAAAAACAATTGATTTTCAAACTGAACTTCAACCATGACCTATTTGTTCTATGCCTAAAGCCAACCTGAACACCTTTTGTTAACTTGACCTACAATTTAACTAGACATTTACACTTCATTCAAGACTGATTTTCATGAATATGGTGTGTTATTCAGCCGGTTTCACTGTCTTACTCTGACAAAACTTTCTAAGATCACTGATGCATTCACTACTAAGCATTATATAATGAATGATAGAATGAAAGATCTCGCGACAAATGAGACTTTCTATATATGTATATGTTACCACTGCCTTCCTCGACCGACGGGCAATGTTAGCTGACATAGAATCGATCAGGTTGGAAAAGAGGTAGTGGTGGTCAGGCCGAAACATATCTTCATCAGTCAATGAAATCCACAACAGTTAGTTTAAGCCAGCCAGCCAGCCACGTAGGTAGGTATAGACTTCCTGACTGGCTGTTGTCTTCGGGATGGTAATGGTGATAATGGCTCAAACTCATCGTTGTCAATGGCTGGCGAAGATGTATTCACTCTTTGTGATTTATAATATCCAATGAAACTATATTGTTCTACGATATTACTATTCCTTTTGCCTCATATTTGTGTTTATTACCTCTATTTACTCTCTTATCATGCTTGGTGTGCTACATGGAGTGTAGTAACTCGAACTGTTGTACATCTATGCGAAGCTCTACGTTGAAAGCAGTCAGTCAGTGAGGTATATTTAACTGTATCAGACACATCAGAAGAAGTAAAAGCTTAGTCTAGTTACACTGAACACCCATGATCGATAAATTTCAATCAACATACAATTCACTGACGAATATACGATAGTAAAATTTAAAATTAATAATGGCTTTATATTGGGGGTAAAGCCGTCCTCACCATTATAGTTACAGTAAATCATAAACTATTATCTCACTCAAGTGGATTAGATAGGGCGTGGTATGTGTGTATGAGGTAATTACCAACTCACCCATCGTTTTTACGCAAACACCAAAATTTTCAAATAAAACAATTTTAATAATTCAAACAATTGAATGATATTGAAGAGTTATATGTATCAGCTTAATATTACTAATGCTAATACTAACTGACTGGTTTCTACAGAAAACTTTGCACCGATGTGCAGCAATTCGACTCGCCACACTTCACTCAGCACACAAAGCAAGAGAAGAAAGTAAAAAGAAATGCAAAACAGAGACAGTAAAGAGAGATATGAAGCAAAAAGAATAGTAATATCGTAGAACAATGTAGTTTTATTGGGTATTATAAATCACAAGGAGTGGATGCATCCGCACCAGCTATTGAGAAAGATACTAGTACTGAAGTCTCACCTCCGAATTTAAAAGTGTCGATAACCCCTTTAACTTCTATGACAATCAAACCCCGGCCCATCTGCATGGTAGGAAAACGTCCTAACGGTTGTGCCATCACCGACACACCACCCTCTACCGCATAAGCAAAATGGTGACTACCTGTTCAAAAAGTGAACAGAGGAACAGTATTGTCTCACCTAATTAATATCTTACTAAATGAAAATCAAATAACTAAGCCAAAACTTTATTATGCATTAAAAATATACCTTTAGAATATAAGTCAAATGATAGAGAGAAAAAGAAAGTGACTCGTGATTACAAAGTAATCGTTAGGACAATAATCAATATACAATTCTCTTTTATAAAGATTGATCACCCAAAATGATTTCCGTTAGAGAATCATTGAAAAACAAACGAGAATACTGGACAACTGTTTCGTTCTAGACACCTTCGGATGCTTTAGAAGTATACACACATCATTCAACTGCTAGGGATTGAACTTGAGATCGTCAGGTTAGCGGGACAGAATCCAATAACCTATCAATTTTAACTTCTATTACTTCGCGATATATGTATATTGCTTGACTGCCAGTCAACGTCAGCGACGAGTATTTGTCCTTACATTCAATCTGGTGGACTTTATCTTGTAGTTGTCGGTCACTAATAAGCACTAGACTGAGTTTTGTTACCTTCTTTGCATCTTGAGTGGAACATAGAGCTTTAAGCTTGAACTTAGAAGTTTCAGTAGATATAGTGGGGTTGGTAGATTCATGAGCAACCTTCACTCTCTTTTCCGGATAAACTGTCAGAATGAAGTTTAAGTGTGTCGGCTGGAAATGGAATCCGTATCACGTGTGTGTGCATATGCCTGGCGAGTATTCTACCGCTGAAATACTGAGGTAATCACCTCAAATCACTGAATATTAATTAATATATTGAATTTTACGAGTTGATATCAGTCCGAGAACCATTGAAAATCCCCAAGGAGTACTGGACAGCTACCTCATCCTAGTGCATATGAATCATCAGCAGTACTCACCTAGTGTTGGGGTTCGAACCTAGGACCTTCCTGTTACAAGGCAAGGTCGTAGACCATTCAGCCACTGGGACCCTATCCAATTCAGTGGCCAGTCCATGAATTATAACTTCTACCAATTCATGATTTAGCGGGACTATCAACCAATATCATCAGTGGGTTATCCATCCCCACACTTGACTGGTTAGATCTGACTGGTCACGACTTCTCATTAGAACTCCAGGAAACTCCATCCTGTAGTAAGTCATTAGCGAGCAGCATCAGATTAATTTTCAAGAGTTTGGCTTGTAAGGATTTTCGATTTGTTTTTACAAGTTTGACTACGGATTGATATCAGTTAGAGAACCATTAAAAAAACCATTGAAAATCGTATTCATTAACATGTATATATGTATCTTCGTTGAATGTACCAATAAAATTAATTATCCACAGCAAATTAAGCCTTATATCGGATCCCAGTATCTGAATAGTCTACCAGCTTGTCTTGTAACCAAAATACCCTAGATTCGAACTCCTCTGATGGTAGGTTCACACTGTTGATGATTCCCAAGCACTAGAATGAAACAGTTGTCCAGAAGCCGTAAAAAAAAAATCATTCGAATTCTTAAAATTCTTTAAAAAAAAGAAAAACACAACAAAACAAAACAGAGCAAGGCATTAACAAGCATTGTTAACTTACAGCATGATTAAGTAGAATTGATTGAACTAAACAATAAATAAAATCATTCATATTTGGATTAGAATTGGTTAGTAATGCTTCAAAATCTGGTAGGAGATTAAGTCCATTCATAGGAGTGTTGTTAGCAACAGGAGGAGTAGTATTAGTATTAGCGACAGTTGTCGGTGTAGCTGCATTTAAAGACAATCGATTTGGTGATGGATTTGAAGAAAGTGTTTGATCATTATTATTATTATTAGAAGAAGAAGAAGATAAATAATCCGTAGATGATAACGAAACCGATGTTGACATTTGCTGTTGAGGCTGTTGTTGTTGAATTGAAGAATCATTTAAGACAACAGGTGAACTATTCCGTGGAGAGGTTGAAGGATTCAAAGATGATGGTAAAGAAGAACAGGAAGAGGAGGAGGAGGAAGAGGCTACATTTCTTAATAATTGTAACAATTGAGCATTTGATGTACGACCAGTAGGAATTAAAGGTGGTTTTAAAAAGGTATTTTGAGATTGTTGTTGTTGTTGCTGTTGCTGATGGTGTTGTTGTTGATGTGCAGAGATATTTGATGCAACATTTGATAATAAACTAGTTAATCCATGATTTGGTATCATTGAAGGTGGTGGTGGGGTGGTGCTGGCTGAGGCTGCGATGGTTGCATCATGCATCCTGGATTACTACTCATTGTATTCACTACATCCGATTTTAATGAGGTTATATGATTTCCACTTACAATAGTATTCGAAGGCGGAGGTGGAGGAGGCGTACTCGTAGTAGTAGTCAAAGAGGTAAGTGTATTCGATGAAGGATGTAAATACATAGCAGCACAAATATACTACCACCTTTAAACAGCGCCAGTTTCAGATAATTTTCAAAAAGGTTGATAAAATATTTTTTATTGATTTTTTGCTTTGTTTGATAACAATCACTAATTTCTGATGGATAAAATCAATGGTATAGTCCACTCATTCACTGACTCACTCACTCACACACATACACACTATGTGTATATGGATGATCACAAAGAATACGTCAAGATACTCCAATGAGTGTTGAATAATCCCACAGAGACAATAAGGATGAATATTAAGTTCACCTTTGATTTATAATAAATAGTCCGTTAATTTCTCTCTGTGTGTGTATATATGTAGAGACAGAACAACACGGATACTGATGATCTCCTATATTAAAAAGATAAACAAAACAAAAATTAGATTGGTTCGGTTATTTTTACGTCAAATTATTAAAAAACAAAACCAACAACAAAAAAAATGATATTCAACACATAAACAACCAACCTGGAAGTTAATGATGATGAATACAATAAATATACGGAAATTTCTAGACGAAAATGAAACTTTAAGTCTAATGTTAATATATGTGTAAAACTTGGGCACTGTGGTAGTGAGTAGTTCCATTTTAGTTTGTTTATTAGATGTATCACACAGTGAGTGAAACAGTATTATTTACTGGAGGACACAGTTTCGAACAAGATTTATTGTGCGTAAGCAGTACAGTGGTTAGGACTCTCACCGACCATGCATATGGTCCGTGGTTCGATCCCCTGCCGACGCACACCTCATATCTATAGTCGGCCTGCAAAATTTGGCCTACCGGTATCACATGTTGAAAATTCCACACCTGTACGAAAAATACAGTGTGGAATCAAGCTGTAATCAAATAATAATAATAACAATAATAATAATTGTAATCACACGACTTTGAAACTTGAGTTTTATAGTTTTCTTTGTTCTCTCCTATTTGTTGTAGGAGTGGTAGAATTTTCCAGATATCTCAGACAGGTGTTGGCATTGAAACTCACAAACTCAATTAGAAACAAGCTTTGTCGGTTAAAGGATCAATCCTGTGGAGCCTTTAAAACAAAACAATTTAGTTTATCTAACACCCTGCCTGCAATGATTGTCAGGTCAAATACATAGGTCAAAGTAGTAGAACAGGTACAGTCAGTCAGACTAGCCGAACATAAAAACCTAGCAAAATCTTGATTAGTTGACCCGAATAAGATAAGAAATCTGGAGAATAGTTCAGCTATACCACTCACTACATGAAATTACGCACACACAACCATACAATAGGATGGATGGGATAAGATGACAGTTTTAGAATCTAATGTAACAGCAGAGTGGTGGGAGAGATTGATAACAAAGCTTTGTTTATCGAATCAACTACAAATACACGTAGTAGGAATGTTTCAACACTTGTCCCAAATATCTGGAAAATTCTACTACCCCTACGACGACAAATAGGAGAAGACAAAGAAAACTATAAAAGTCAATTTTCAAAGTCGTGTGATTACAATTGATATGATTATGAAGAATAAATTTTGCTCGAAAGCTCGTCATCCAGTAAATACTAATACTGTTTCACTGTGTGATACATCTAATAAACAAACTAATATGGAATTTAAGTCTAATGGTCTTAAACTAAATAAATCCTCCCAAATGTCAGACTGTTAATTTCAGTTTCTGATGTGAAAGCAAGTTAAATGAAGCTGTTAGTTCTTATGACCGATGCAAAATTGATGATAGTGATATAGAAATCAAGTCTGACGTTAAATATCCACGACTAATTCTTCCTTCTAACCTATCCTGGTCTTCACATGTCTTAACGATTACTAAAAGAATATTTCATCTGACTTCTTACATTATGCAGTTAAGGCACTCAGGCTTAACGCAACCCTCCGCTCCCCGTCTTACAGTTTGTCAACTCATGCATCTTACCTATTTTTCTTTACTGCTCACCCGTATTCTTTCCTGGATCGCCTAGAAAAAGACTGATACATGCTTCGTAGAACTCTGAAGACTAGTTGTCAGTACGGCGAATGGAGGCATCCCATTGGGACATATCTTTGACATCGTCATTGATGACAAAGCACTTCATTTCATGCAACAAATTTGCTAAAGGAAAGACTATAAGTATCCACTTTACCCGCATCTCCAAACTTGTGTCTCCTCAGGTAAAACAAGAAGTCTTTTTAGAAGACTAAGTCTAAGTATAAAAATTCCATTATACCATATTTGGCGGCACAGATTTTATGTGATGAAAATAGTGTCAGGCATGAACTAACTAACTTTCTTTGCACTAGTAAATAGACCATTTTCTCCATCCTTATTCTACCAAGCTTTATTGTTGTTTTATTTATTTTTTCATAAGTCTAAACATCATTTAAGCTGTGTTATAACTGTTATTTTTTGTCTTTCCCCAGACCATGCTATATCAACGGAACATTAGATTCAATAATCTATAAAATGCTAAAATTTTCAAACTGAATCGACAATACCGTTTTAAACAAACCCCCCTTTTATTATTATTATTATTACTATTCTCATTTTCTACTTCGAATATTCTCGACTTTATACAGCGTAAATGTTTTGATTTTTATTATGGCCTGGTTCCACATTGTATTTTTGGTACTTACTTACTTACTTACTTCGGCTATCTCCTACAGGAGGATGAGCCGGCTTCATGAACGTCTCGAATCATCGCTGCCCAGGTGTGGCAATTTGTAAGAGAGTTCATGAAGTTTCATGGAATTTGGTACGAGTGATGTCCCCAGCATCGCTCGGCCTTTTGTTTGAGAGTGCAGCTCTAGCCTTTACACAACCAAGTGTGACCTACAAGGCAGTAGTAGTGGAGTAGGGAGTCAACTATCCATTGGCACCGGTGGCCGGAGTCCGGTTCATACGCCTTTTTGAATGGGGCCAGACATCCAGGACATCCAACAAGCCCTTTGTCCATACGTCTGCCGGTGAGCTCCAGTGAGCTTCATACGCCAGTCGTTGGAGGTTTGGAATCAGGGTTTAGCCATCCCCCTAGACCGTCATCCAATGGACAGTCAACCCGGTGGAGAGCGCCGGGCATCCGCTTCCGCCCTCTCACTTTGGTGAGAAACACCTCCGCCACGTGAAGGCAGTGAGTAGGACTTCCTCAGGAGAGGCTATGTAAGACCCGGTCATATGGGAGCATTTCAAGAGGTGTGCGGAGGGGTGGCCAACCCACAGCGCAAGGCACCCACCCCCGACCATCCTGAGGCTTTGAGGGCTATTTTCGGTACAGGTATGGAATTTTCACCATGTGATATCTGTGGCCCAAATTTTGCAGGCCGACCATAGATATGAGGTGTGCATCGGCAGGGGATCGAACCCCAGACCATGTGCACGGTCGGCGAGAGTTATAACTGCTGTGCCACTGACAAATACCTCTGGTTAATTTTGTTTTAACTTTTAATTTTATTTATATTTTGAGTATAAATCAGATGCAATATTGTGACAAATGCTGAGAATTCCATTCTGTATTAGATAAGTACTGTTTTTGGAATAAAGTAGATTACTATTATGATCATTAATATGAAAATAAAAGGAAAAGAAAATGCGGTTTAAGACAGAGAAAGAGCGTGTGTGTGGGGGGGGGTTGAGTGAGTGACTGAGAGAACTAGAGATCAAAAGTGCATAACAACACTTTATTTCGTTTGGTTTTTTTCTTGTTTTGTGTGTAAAACTATAGTTAAACTAAACTAAACTATTCAATACTTTAAAATGAGGGTTCATATGATCTTTTCGAATCATGAGATGGGCATGCGTTAATCGTTGTGTGTGGTGTGTGTTAACTAAAGTGAAAATTGTGAGTTCAATCACTGAGATCTTCACAGGGTGATTAGTGCACATACCATAGATAGATTAAGCAGAGAAAAACAATAAAATCCACTAAAGAAAGTAAGAGAAAATAATAATAAATGAGAGATTTGACTGATTTTAAGAGAAATTGATTAAAGAAAGAGGAAATAATAAAAAGGTTGTCTTAACTATTATTACTATTTTCATTATTTTTTTTATTCACGCGACTACTACTTATAATACACTTACTAGAGGTAATATAAAACAATAATGATGATGATGTTGATGAGGAGTGGTCACATCATTGAAAGTAATATAGTATGTGAAATATGTATGAAGATTCATATCGATTACAACCTCAATAATGCTAAAACGTTTCTAGGTAGGTAGGTTCACAGATTCTCAAGAATACAAAGACGCTATAGCTCTCCAGTAGTAGTCCCTGATAGTTTTCAACGTCAATCTATGATGCATCGATGGCACAGCGATTAAGACACTCGCTGATCATGCACATGATCCGGAATTCGATCTTAATGTCGACGCACAACTGATATCTATGGTCGGCTTGAAAAATGTGGGCTACCGATATCACTTGCTGAAAATTCCATACTTGTACCAAAATACGGTGTGGAAGCAAGCTGTAATGAAAAAATTCAACACAAAGCTAATCCATATGCCCTATGTGTTCTAGTGAGAAGTTTTGATTGATTAATGGGGGGGGCAGTGTTGGGGGGTGGATGTTAGAATACTATCTGGCGGTCGCTCTATATTACGAAATGGCAGAGGTTAGAATTAATAGGCCATTGAATATCCATCCCAAGTGGATCTCGTTGCCAAGCATGAAGATTCTAGGTGGGTATTTCTGAAGAGTTCTAAGGTTTAGGAGGAAACAGCTGTTGAGTATTCCTAGTCTGAAATAGTACTCTTAATGACGTCATTCCGTGATCTGTTGTTACATTATTTGTTATTTCAACAATAAACGTAAGTTCTTTTCCATTCTATTTCGTTTCCTTGAAGTAGATCCCCCACAAGAG